TAGGTTTTGAAACTGATGCAGGTTGCTTTTTGGGGGAGGGGGACTTTTGCGGCCCCCCTTGGTAGTAATCAGGTTCCCTTAAATTTTTGGGGCCCCTAGGGCGACGGGCAATTTTTTTTGAGCTGTTTTTGCAGGTACAACTATAGTGGGATTCCCCTTTGAATTTTTGGGGGCCCGCATCTTTTGGTTTGGATGTTGTGAAAATTTTGAAGTTTTTCCCCCAATCCCCCTGTTTTGGGAATTCACACCCTTCCCAATTGATGATGCACTTGCCATATTGGGGAAAATTTCCCAAACTTAATTCTTTCCTTTGGATGTTTTGGGGGAAAGGGTTTTCCTTTTTTGATTAGAAGGTATTTTTAATACTTGGTTAGGGGTTTGAGGAATCCCCTTGAAAAACCACCAGAACCAAAAAGAAATTTGGGGGTCATTTTTGCATTTTCCTTTGGATTTTTTTGTTTTATTTGTGCCACCATTTACCGGCTTGACACAATTTTTTAAAAGGGCAGAATACTTGGGTTTGCTTTATTAACGGGGAGCCAGTTTTTTTCCCCCCCGGCAGAGCTCGTTTTCGGTGGGTAATAAGGGAAAAAAATTTGTGGGGGGGGGTTTTGGTGGTGATCGACAGCATTTCCCCTTTTTTAAAAAAAACCTTGCCCCCACATTTTTTTTGTCGGGTTTTTTATTTTGGCCCCGAAAAATTAAAATGCCTAAACCCCTTTTAATTCCTCCCGTTTTGGTTCAAAATTAAATTTTTTTTTGAAGGGACCTGGCAAATGGGGGGGGTTCCTAAAAATTTAAGTGCCCATTTTAAGAAATTTTTTGTTTTCGTGTAAATTTTACGTTCTCCCTAGCCGGGAAATTTTTTTTTCCCCTTTCAGCCTTTTACTGTATTCTCAGTGCCCACCTAACGACACCCCCGTAAAAAATAATCATCGGTTTTGAGCGAAGCCCCTTTGGGAAAAACCCATTCTGAAACCCTTTCCCCCCAGGGTTTTTTTTTCCCCGGGATTTTGGATTTACTTTCGCTTTCACTTTTTGCCCTTCATAATCAAAAAAAATTTAACCCCTTATCATATAAAATTTTTGTTTTATAGTACTTTGCATCTGTCACATTTTAAACGGGGTTTGCCTCCATTTGATTGGCCAAGGGGCTAGAAAACCGCCCAATCTAAGGAAAAATTCACCCCAAGTTTGGTTGTCCACTGACGAGTTGCCAGCAAAGGTTTACAGTGTAACTCTCATTTCCCATTCGCATCTTTAAAAAAATTGGTTTGTTTCCCCCTTTCGGGGTGAAATTATCTTTTCCAAGATAATTATTTCCCGGCACCATCTAATTTGGTTGATTGGGGAAAAAAGTCTTTTAAAACGTGTCGTGGGGATCCCGGGTTGGGGTAAACCCGAAAGTTATTTTCAGAGCCTAAACCCAATTTCCTCCCAGAACCATAAATTTTTTTTGGAAAAAAGGACTGCATTTTGGAATTTTTGGAAATGAAAATTCGTTTGACATCAGGGGAAAAAGCCTCATTTTTAACCTTTTGGGGTTTTTACTTGAAAAACCCCCTTGGTTTTGTTAGGTGATGTGTCCGTAGTTCATCCCCCAGAAGTGTGAGGACCCTTCATCCCCAAATAGCGCCCCCCTAGTGCAATTTTCTCAACTTTTCTTTCTTTTTGAAGTTTTAAATTTGGACTCCCCCCGTAGTTTTTTTTATTTTTTTCTGCAGTGTTACTTTTCTGGATAGGACCCCCCAAGTTTGCCATTTAACATTTAGATTTTTTCCCTATTTTGCACCTTTTGATTAAGAAAAATTTTAAAAAAAACTCGAAATCAAATTTTTTTAATTTTCCAAAACAAACTGACCTTTTTTGCCCCCCCTTCCCAAGTGGAAAAAAAAAGGTCTTGAAATTGGGGCCTTTGAAAAAGGGCTTTCAGATTTTTATTTCCCTTTTAAACTCTTTTACTCCCCCAGTTTCAAACCTTGAATTTAGTAACTAATCTTTTAAAAATTTTTTTTCCCGAAAATCAGACTTATCCATTACTTTTACCCATCCTGATTGGGCCCCCCATCCCCCAAAAGGTTAAAACTCTTTTTCCCCCAGGCCGGGAAAAAAATCTTGCATTAAATTTCCAAATCCAAAAGCCCAATAAATTGAGATCTTGAATTTTTGAAATTCTTTCATTCAAGGTGGGAAATAGATCCCCCCAAGTATTTTGAAGTTCTTCATCATTTTGGGCTGTTCTTGTTTGGGCAAAATTATCTATTAAAATGCTCCCACAACTTGCTTTACACCCTGGGATTTTTCCTATGTAATTTTTCCCAAAAACAAAGATAGGGTGATTTTATCACTTTTGAAGCATCAATACAGTTTTGCTTGACCCTTTTGTTTGAAAACTTTCACCCCCAAACCCTGGGTTTTTTAAGCCATTACTCTTTCTAAAAACTTTGAACGTCCATTGTATGGTAAACCCGTAATGTTCACACCATAGTAAAAAACCCCGGAAAAAAGGGTTTTTTCCGGGCCCAGTAAAAAGTTTGTTTTAAATGGTAAATTCCCAATTTTGGAAGGTTTTTTTTTACCCCGACCAAAAAAAGGCCCGAGTGCTTTTGGAAAAAGTCCTCCCCCATTTGGGAAAAACCTTCGTAACCTGACATTTGGAAGGCCCCCTTATTTTCCCAAACCCCTTTAAAGGAAAGCAGTGAGCCTAGAAATAAATTGTACTTTGGTTATTTTTAACTGTATCTTTTTTTCTTTTATAAAGGTTCTAAATTTTTATATTGGCCTTGTAAAGTTCAAAGGCCCCGCATTTTTTCCCGTAAACTTTTTTAGGGAAAACTTTTTTTAAACCATGAGAGGGGCCCCAAAAACACTCTCTTATAACCCAATGAAAGCAAAATTTTTTTCCCTTGCACAGGCATAATGATAGGTTTCACTACAGTTTTTTAGCACAGAAACCCAAAACACTTTAGCATTTTAAAACTTCACAAGCAGCACTTTTTAAAATTCATTTTCCCCCCCTTGAAAATTGCAGAATTTTACATTTTGGAGAGATCCATCAATTTCTTTCAAATACTTGAAAGACCATAGGCAAAAGTTGGAAATTTTTTTTTTTTCCCCAAAATCATTTTGCCCAAAATAAAGTAATTTTCCCTTTAAATAAGTGGAAAACCCCATCGGCCAGTAGCTTTAAAGGAGACAATATCCTTAAAATTTACAAACTGGAAAACCTCTAAAAGATCCTCTTCAAATCTGTCTCCATCTACCTCAAGTTTAGGTACTACTTGATCCATTGGACGCTCAATAGATTGTTCATTAGTTTTTACTTTATCTGAAATATCAATATCTTTCATTGATTCGGCATCCTCATGCTCACCCTCAACTTCCAAGTTAGGTTGAAGCAATTGTTTTCACAGTCAAAACCAAGGGAAAGTCTCAGAGAATAAGTCCTTGTAAATTGAACTAAGGTCATCATTTGTTGTCCTTTGGATAACATCTTTCATATCATGATTAAAATCTTTCAGGAGAAACATAGCCGTCACTGTTAACTCTTTTTTTGATATCAAGGAGTGATGGAGATATCACCCTATCTAAGTCATCGCTGTTGTCAACATCTGGTGAAGATCTTATAACAATGTGCTAATATCTTGCTCACTTCGAGCATTGTGGAAAGCTCTTCATTAGGTTCATCATCATCAGATATTGCTTCATATTTGTCATCATGTACAGTTGTAGGTAACATTGCCATTGCTTTTCTTGTTTTTGATTGCGGTGGATAGTTCTCATGACCTCAACACCAATGATGATTCGAATTCTGTCTTGGTCCCACACAGGCCAGTTGAAAAAACATATTTCTTTATTTGCATTAATGGTTCTTGTAGATTAACCACTTTATGGGTTGTGGGTGGAATATCCTCTTTCTCTATATTTACATCTTGTATCAAGGATGACTGCCACACATGTGGGGAAGTGGATTCATCAAATTTGTTTCTGGGAGAAATGATTATTCCGCCTGCCTCTAGCAGTGTTTCTATAAACTTTGGTTTCTGATGTCTTCATGGACACATCCACAACATCAAAGTGTAACTTTCTTATAGCTTGAGGCGACAGCAAACGATATGGTTATTTGGTACTGGGATATCTTGTGTGGGGTCAGTTTTAGTAATGCACAAGCTTTTTTGTTTTTAGCAAGTAATTTTAACAGATGAAGCAGCCGACCTTTCAGATGTTCTGTGAGCATCTTTCTCCATGGAGGATCGTTAGGCATGCATTTGCAGCATATGTATTCGATTGACGGCGGTAATGCTGACAGGAGCTGGTATCCTTCGCCACTGAGTCCTTCACAACTAGGCGTGCACCCATCTGCCGCAACAACCGCACTCCATCATCTAAAAAGAATGTAAGTATACATAATATAAATAGGTTATATAAATATAGAAGAATAGAAGCTACTCGCCGTAAACTAAAATCAGATCCTTTTATGTGACTGGGTATGGGTATATAACACCACTTACCTTGCTATCGAAATCATTGTCCCTGTAGCAAGCCTGGCAGAGAGGACAATAATTGCCTTTTGCCGCAGTTTGAAGCAAGGCCCACAGAACGGTAGGCTACCGACAAACTTGCTGACTCGGCTACTGTCACAGCTCTTGCATTTTAGACAGGCACTACAAATCTGTAAACAGAGAAGGACAGAGTTTTAAGAAAAAGTCTTTCATAATTATGTTTTTAATTTACCTTAATCATTCCACTTATTTTACCACCCTTGTGGAGTAGTTGCTAATTAAATATTAATTTAAAATAACCAGTGAATGCATTCTTGATTCTACAGTAATTTTGTAGATCTATCCTTCTTTTTTGACGTCGTTCAAAATTGTTTAATAAAGATTTTATATCGATTGTAATTATGTGATATGTGGATGTTATCTGTGGTGTTTAAAACAATAACACTTTTCAAAGCATTACTTACGTAAAATTGAAAATTTGAAATTTTTCTATGAAATATGGAAACGGATAAGGACTGCATCTCACCTGTGGCCAATCGCTACGGTGATCCGGCGGGGCAGCTGGCAGGCAGGCTGCGTGGTAATGGCGTGCGCAGGCGCGGCAGCGGAGCCGGGCAGCGCCGCGGGCGCACGCCGCACACGACACGCAGCGCGCGCACGTCAGCCGCCGCCCCGCCGCCTCCTCCGCGCACCCAACTGTGGGACACACTCGCAACACGAGGTACAACCAGCATCTGTATGCAGAAATAAATGTAGTGGTTAAAAAAAGAAATTGGCTGCAGTTCGTTCACTTCAAGGTTTTCTATCCCACAATTATTTCTTTTTTGGGATAAACAGTGAACTCATTTTTGTAAACCTGGGCCTCAATTCTGCGTTTTATGTTCACGGCCAAGCCACTGTCATACCACTGACAGGCTATTGAGATGCCATCGAGTGGCCATTGGCATCGGTATAAATATCGGTAGTCTACACTAACTCAGTGTCCTTTACAGTGGCAATGGAATGGCAGTGGCTTATCAGTGGGGATATCCAAAAAAATTGCCATATTTGGGAAAAAAAAATAAATCATTTCCTTATAATTTGATAGATGGCATCTCAATAGTGTGTCAGTAGCTTGGCGTGAACATAAAATAGCAGAATTGAGGCCCTGATAAGCTCTAGGGATGCAAATACGGCAATAGGACAAAAGATGATGCAAGTGTTTTTGAACTTTTATGCATAAGTCATTTATAAGTAATTGAAATTTGTTTTTTGAATATATAATTACTTATTTTGTTCATGTATGTACAATTTAGTGAAGAATTTTTGGAATATATGCAATTTCTACCTAAAATTCTCTTAAATTTTTCTCTCTCTCTCACCTTAAAATCTTTTTTTTTTTGCATTTTGTGCATTTGCATATCAATATTCAATAAATTTTTCAACCTTAAGCTGGGTCCACACTTGAAAAAA